TCACTACTTTAAACTATTTGGCATTATCCAAACATTCTACTAAAATCAAATACAACAGAATATGATTTTCTCAACTTAACAAACCCATATTTAACAACATTTATACCAAACTTACTGTTTTCTACACCTTCAATACTACTACAACAACTTTTATTTATTTTTATCTCTGTATTACTATCTCCAATATTGCTACCACTTTCAATACAAAACCCTATAATTATACAAAACTTATATAACCTTCATTTAAACATTAATACATATAATGTTAGAGAATTTAACACAATCACCAAAAAAGAAGCTTGGCAAAATTACTGTCTTTATAATAATATTAATATTGCCTATATTACTAAAACAAAAATTGCCAACACTACTAACCTTCACTTTTGTAACAATAATTGGTTTACATACTTTCAGGCAAATTCTGAAAATTTTGCTAAAGGTGCTGCCATTATTATTCACAATTATCTTCAAGTACATATATACAACTGTCAAACACATCCTGAAAAAGCAGTAGCTTTAGATCTTTTTTTCAAAAGTGAAATTAAACTCCATATTATAGTAGTTTATCTCTCTTCTACTGACATACATTAATATAATAAAATACAAAAAACAGTCATTTTATAGATTCAACAAGCCTACCAACTAAATCTTCATCCAACCATCCTTAGTAACTTCAATACACAGAATGATATTTAGCTCATTATCAAAATTTTGACTCACTAACTACCTTTATCAAGCCAACATGTACGACCTTGGTGCATATGTTAATAATAAACACTATATATAGTCAAACAATACTAGTCAAAGTCATATTGACTACATATGAACTGATTTATTTAATATACAGTTCTTTTTTTTTTATAACCTTGATGATAGTAACAACTTTATACTAAGTAATCACTCTATACTTCTTTTTTCATGGTCCTTTACTAATGCATTTAGTAAACCTTCACACTATCATACTGGAATTAGTTGTAGAATTTTTAATTACAATGCCATGTCACCAGAAAAATGAACAGAATTTTCTAATCTGCTCTCTCAAAAACTTAACTTACATAACACTTCACTTGATTGCAACACCAATAAAAGCATAGAAACTACCTAGTATAAAATCAAACACTCAATTATTTATACTACTATACACTCAATTTTGAACAAAAAATTCTGCAAATATAGTTATAATCACAAGTATTCACCTCATAGCATCATACTTTATTTATCACTTAAAGAACTTGGACATTTAATTAAAATTGTTAAAAATCCAAATAACAATTTAAATATTAATATAATTAATTCTAAAATTAAAAATATAAATGCAAAATCTTATTGTGATCTTCAAATCTTATTTTCTAACCAACAGCCAGAACTCAAACAATAAACTCAGCATGCTTAAGATATTTGGAAACAGCTTTACCATGCATGCCATCTTGAAAACTTCCTGCTACTTCAACAACAAATCCAACAAGCTACTGAAAAAAGATGTAAAACACTCTGTACACATCCCAAACAAGCTTTAAACAGTATCCTCAATTATTATAAATCCTCTATTTACTTCTCAAATATTAAACTTTCTAACCAACTTGTTACAAAGCCACATCTTATCAAGCAATATATACAATTTTACTTTCTCAACTGAACAGTCTATTGACCAATTGACCAAAACCTATTTAATAATTTTTGGTCTACACAATACCAATCACAATCACACATTGATACTCAATAGTATAACTCTCTTATTACTCCTATTACAGAAGAAGAAGTGTTCCAAACTATAGCAAAACTTTCTAATAGGAAAGCTCATAGTCCTACAGAGATTAGTTATAAAATGCTTAAACATGCAGGTGTTGTCTGCATTAAAGCTATAACTGCCCTATTTAATCAATGCCTCAACTTAAGCCAAACTCCAAAACAATGAAAGCATAGCAGAATATACCCTATTTCAAAGCACAATACATTTGATAAAGATCTTAACCTTACTCATCTTATAAGCTTAATTGAACATACTTGTAAAGTCTACACAAACATTATTACAAACAAAATTAGCACAATATTCTTATAACATCCAATTCTCTCACTATACAATTATGTTGCCCTACCAAACAACAGTATCTCAATATTTATATACATACTTAACAACCTTACTAAAGATGCATCATGCAACCAAAAACCAATTTGGCTTTTGTCTTAAGATATGACAAGACCTATGACTCAGTTAATCTTGATCTTCTTAAACATTCTTTGCACATCTTGCTCTTCCTCTTATTATTATCAACACTATCATTAATTTACTTACTAACTGACAAAATCAAGTTATTACAAATCTTGGTCTTACTTCTTCATATTCTGTACTTAATGGTATTGATCAGAGAAAAACTATTACTCTTCTTCTATGGAGAATATACTATGACCCACTTATCTCATATATTTATAATAACTTTGATGAATATAACACTAAAGTTTCCTGGCCAACTAATTTTAAAAATCAAACATTCAACAAACTTGAATCTCACTGCTCTATTCTTGCCTATATGAATAACACTTTATGAATTGCTTCCTTACAGCAAGAACTCTCCCAAATCCTATCAATAGCAGAATCCTTTTACAATATGGCTAATATTCAAATTAATCCTACTAAATCAATACTCACTACCAACAACCCTCCAACTAACTATAGTCTCATTACTTACAACAATCAATTACTCAATCTTCATCCTTTAAATGAACCATTTAAATTCCTAGGATGTTGGTTTACACTTAACAACAAATAAGCAAAACAAACTAAGCTTATTACAGCTGAATCATCACATCTTGTCAAAATTGCAAGCATAAAAAAAATCACTGACATACATGCATGATATATTATTAATACAGTTATCATTCTTACAATTGAATACCATATTCACAACATTGTTCTTAGTCAGAACATATATAATAAAATCCTTATCAACCATATTGGACTTGTCAAAAACAAGGCCAAACTTAGTCATACAATTCCTATTAGAACAATACTCCATCTTTAACTATATAATATTCGAAATATATAGGATATTCAACTTCAATATCATATAACAAACTATACCAAAAGACTTAACTCTTCTGACCTTCTTGGTATTAGTACTTACATTCAGCTTCAACAACTTCAAAATAATCTTTGGTCACCTACTAGCATCTTAATATATAACAATCCTATTATTAATAAACCAAATAAACATACTACCAATTTCAAAATAATTCTATTCTTTAAATATCTTGGCATCATATTTACTGCTAACCCAACTTACAACATTTTATATACCATTCAACAAGGCTCCATCTCACTTGAATCTCTACTCTCCTCACATCCAAAATACTTAACCTTCAAAAAACAATCTAAGCATTATGGTATTCTATATCTTGATCAACTTATAATATTTGACAATTTATGTTTATTAAACTGGAAACACATCTCTCCTTGTATATACAAGATTTCAAAAGACAAATAGCCACTTTGGTTTACTTATTTAGAAGACCAAGTTACAAACCATTCCTACAATCATACACTTTATCAATACTTATACTTACTTGACACTAATTATTACAGTTATACAACTGGACACTTCTCATCATGCAAAAAACTATGGCTTATTACTGCAGTCTGGTGTATTTCCAAATTTGGCTTAGCATAAAAGAATTGTTCTAGAATTTAGAAGATCATCGATTATCTGCAAAAATAAATCTGATTGGCTATTTTTGCAAATCTTATCTTCATTTTTTTTAAATTAATATTCGATCGATATGATTTTTTTTCTTATTTGAAGATTATGAATATATATTAAAGTTAGTATTTAAAGACTTACAGATTTAGAATCCACTATGGTTACAACAGAATCCACCCACCCCCTTAAGTTGTACTTGTTCAAAAAAATAGGTAGCTGGTTAAAATTTTTATGTCAGGTAAGGCTTAAATTTGCCTCTAAATGTTTATTTTATTGATTAATTTTAAGTGTAAGATATTTATTAATCATTAGAATGTGATTTAGCTTAGGCCAGATCTGGTATTATAAAGAGAATAAAGAAAATTAAATTATTGGTGGTAGAAGAATGAACAAAAAGCACCATCTAATTTCGTGCTGGTACGTTATTACAATTTGACAATAGTGGCAGTCTATGAACTCATTTAGAAAAAGGTCTTTATAAGATTCGTGAATAGAACTTATTCAACTTGTGAATGAAATTACTAGTAGATTAATCTAATTTATTTTACAATAAAATATTATTGATCAGATCTTGTAAATTTATTTTTTAAATTTTACTTTCTAACCATTTTTAAATTAAATTTTAAATTACTTACAAAATTTTAACGATCAAGAATGTTTTGATAAATGATAATAGGGCTTTTAATCTTGGACTTTGGCATATCAAAAACAATTGAATAGCTTTTTTACTTTGAGCATAAAATAGCAGATATACTGGCATATATTGAGCCACAGGGGGTGGACAAGTGGAGATAAGGACATTGATAATTGCATTAAAGAATTTCAACTTAAAGCTATATTTTATATCGATGTAATTGAATGGATTTCTTTTAATAGATTAGATGATAATCAAAATATTTGTGAATTTTTCGCAACTTGGCTATATGGAATACGAATCGTTTTAGGTAAACATAGTAGTGCAGCTGCCTCTGTTCTGAATATGAGCAAATGATTAAATATGATAAATGATCTGACATTTATAGTCTAGGCGTATTATTTTGGGAACTTATAAGTAGTTAGTGTACTTTTTGAAATTCTATGCAATTTAATTCATAACCAACTTTTAGCAATAACTTCAGTATATGAATAAATATTTAAGGTTCTTATAATGAAATTTTTATTTGTTATTAATGACATTTAGATATTAATAATTAATCTTTAGTAAAAAAAGGATTATTATATATTTCAAAGCCAATTGGCACCGAATTTGTAATTTGTAAAAGGTATTAACAAATATAAGATATATTTAATGATTTATTAATTTCTTTATATTATTTCTTCGTCTATAAGCTCTTTATCTTCATTTTCTTCATCAATAGCATCTTCAGCATTATTTAAGCCTTGTATTTCTTGCAAGATTGTTAATACTATAGTTTTTGTCTTATTTTTTAAATTAGTATACTTTGAGTATTGTGTTTCAGGAAGTAATATAAGTATTAAATTGATAACTGAAATAAGCTCTTCTTTTTTCATTGTGCTTTCATTTTTCATTATTTCAGCCTCCTGCTCCATTACTGGAATTGCTCACCAAGTATCAATACTAGTATTTTGCATTAAGGTATATTTAATAAATACTTGTCTTTTTTCTTGTGCAAGTACACTAAATGACTTCATTTCTTCACTCAAATTAATTTCACCATCTAAATTAGTAAATGCACTATTCATTTTTATTGGATTCAAGAACTGTTTTTTTCTTAGATATGTACGAAAATGTTGTTGTTCCATATGAGAATTAGGCTAAGTTCGTTGTTCTGAATCCTCATTATTCTCATATCCAATAATATTAAAAAGGTTGGTACATAGCTAAATTTAGTTAAATGTTAGAATTAATTTAATGCAGTAATATCTATTTATTAAATTACCTTTAAAAAATTTACATAGTTTCTTGCAGCAATTTTCCAGTGATGTTGCAATGGTACTGGAGGAATTAGGGATTTTAAGGCTTTATTAATCTCTTCTATTATAGCATCAAGTCCTTGGTGCTGATTTTGAAGTCCTGATCGAGATAATATCGAGAAATTTTCAATATTTTCACGAATTTGAGGTTTTAAATTTAATAAAGTTTCTTCATATGATACTTCTAATAATTTGTAAATTGGATGATGCCTAGCTGACCAAATTGGAGCAAATTGGTGTTGTGCTGCATTTCGTAATAAAGATTGGTTGGTTCAAACTCCAGTGCGAAAGTTAACAATAGCCTGAAGATAAGTAAAAGTCTATTGTGATTGTGTTTTTTTTTGTTCTTATTTATGTTGTAAGTTAAAATTAAACCAATATCTAACCTGTTCAAATTTTAATTTATATGTTTCATTAGTTTGTGCTTTAGCCCATTCTAAATATCCATTAGGCGTTGGGTTGTTATAGTTTAGAACATATGGCTATATTAATTCTGATTCCATTGAATATCGATATATATTACATATTGAGTCTCATACCTTATAGTGGTCAATACATTTTCAAAAATATTCTAGTTGATTATCTGTTCGGTATCCTTGACATCGAGCAAATATCTTTATATCTATATCCCTTAAAAATTAAAAAATTTAAAGTAAGTAAGTTAGTAAATTAAAATATTTTAATATTAATTTATACCAATTTAGTCCAACAAATGCTTTAAGCATATTTATTTCTTCATGCAAAGGGCCCGGAAGTAGAATTAACCAAGGAAGTTTTTTTTTAGTTTTAGTGCTTGATTATATGGTACGCCATCATATATGACAGGTAATCATCTGCATTTTCCAGATTTAATTCTAGCAATTATTTCGATATGCTCTAAAATTTTTTGAACATTTATTAAAGAATTAGGATTGATAGGAATTGGGTCAGGAATGTATAAATCTGAAATTTTTATTCCTTTGTTTGTTATAGTTCTTTGTGTTATACTAATTTTAGGTTTTTGCACTTTAATACTAGATTGTTTAGGTTCATATAGTTTAAACACTACCGTTTTATCTATATTTTTAGGTAATATGGTTTGTTGAAAAGATGAAGCTTGACTTATTGAAGCAAGCATTGGTAACTTAGTATTACATTTAGGACAATTTCATTTTTTATTATCAATTTCTGATTCGAAACAATTTAAACATTGTTTATTTTTATTAGATAAGCTGTTTTGTTTTTCAACTAGTTTATCTATTTCATTTACTTTTTGATTTTTTTCAGAATATAGGTTACTTATTATTTCATTAATAAATTCGAGAAGCTCTATTTCAAGTACTTTTTCCATATTATCATTTAAATAAAATAATTGTTTGATATCATTTTCAAGAAGTGAGTTGTTCTTCCATGGATCAATTTTTAATTGGCAATCATTATTTGAATCAAAATTAAAGCCTACAAAGCTTGTTACTGTATGGAATACAACCGTATTATAACCTCAATCTAAATAGTTTTTTTGGCCTTTTTGTTCATTATCGAAGGCCAAAATTAAAAATCCATCTGGTAAGGGCTTAGGCTCGATTGCTAAACTTTCGATCCAATTAATAAATTTTGTATAGCCTCCTCTACTAGTAATATGATTATCAATATCTATTATAGTTTTTGATTGAGCAATAGTATATTTAATCGCTGATGCAGCAAGATTTATTTCAGAGACATATTTGCTATGCCGTGATTTATAAATAGCATCTACAGCCACTATAGGTTTAAAAATTTTCTTTTGATATAATTGCTCATCATTATTATCAGTAAGTACTTCGATAAATTTTATTATTACAGGATTATGATACTTAAGCCAATTTAAAAGATTATATACTAATAAATTTTCTAAATAAAACCGATTACAATTATTAATTAAATAAATAATATCATCATATAGAAGCTTTTGTTCTAATAAAGCTATTGTAGCAACTTCTGTTATTCGCTTTTGTTGAGTACTATACCATTCATTCCATTGTTCTTTTAAGTATGTATTTTCATTTTCTAACTTATTTTTTTCATTTGTTAATATTTCTATATTATTTTTATATAAATTTAAACTTTCTAATCTAAGATTAAAATCAGCAATTTGTTTTTTAAGATATTCGCATTCATATTCTAATTCATAAATTTTATTATTTTTAATTTCAATAATTTGTGATTGTTTAGAATTTTCAGTTGCAAGAACATTGAGAGAATTTTTTAAAATTCTGATTTGCATTAAAAGATCACTATTCGTATTATCTACTTCTACCTGAATTCCAATATCGATAGTTGTTGAAGGTTCTATTTGTATATCATTCAAATTTAAGGTATTAAAATTGCGACTTCACTTTCTTGGATAAGATGATGATCCATTTTTTAAATGGTTTAAATAAGTATTTTTTACAAAAATTTGATTATAGTGCTTTTCACAAATTATATGTTTCTCTAACTTATTTTGAAAAGTATTTAATTTAGGAAAATATGGTTTAAATAATTTAATTTGGGCCCTAATAGTATTTGTATTTGCATTTCGAATTTTTTGATATTCTTTAGTTTCACATTCAATTAATTGTTTAGTATCTTTATAAGTTTGAACAAGTGTAGAAAATAAACAAGTCGGAGTTAAATCCTCAGAATCTTCAACTTTTTTTTAAAAATGAAAAAAAAAATATAAATAATGGTTAAATTATAAAACTAACTTGCAAAATACAAAACTAACTTGCAAAATACTAACTATCTGTAGACAAAAGTAAATCCTCAGAATTTTCAACTTTTTTAAAATGAAAAAAAATATAAGTAACAGTTAAATAATAATAAACTAAATTAAAAATACTAACCATCCATAATTGTATTTTAAATGGCAACTTTTAGACTTTAATACAAATATCTATGAAGATATATAAGCAAAATAAACACAAAGAAAAAACCAGACTTTGAGTTTATTATTTACCAGCCTTGGCCCTGACTATGCCACATATAGTATGTAATTAAATTTATTTTTAAATCATATATGTTTTTAATCAAGGCTAGGTCTGGTAAATAAACTTGAAAGCCCAAGGTCTGGCTTCCTCTTGGCATCACTTATATATACTGTTAATTTGCTAAATAACAGACATGAGAGTTATCTCAAATATTGTGACTTCTAAATTAGCATAACATAACTATTATTTGAGAGAATTATAATAACAAGACTGATCTAACTCTAATAGTTACGAGGAAAATAAATGTAGAAGGAAAAAAATACGAAAATTGGTTTTTTTCAGCTTTACACCAGCTTACTTTCTTTAGTATTATGGGTAAAACAAAGAGGAAAACTCTGCCTTTATTGAAGTCAAATTCTTTTGCTTATATACATTTAAGTTAATTAGGCTACACATTATATGTGCTATCTAGCACATTAGTCATAATAATAAATTATATAAAGCTACCATATAGATGTATTAGCATGTTGAGCATGCTATCACTTTAAACGTGCTATTCCAATTAAATGAAAGAAGAAGGTCAGATAAAAATCATCATGTAGAACAGGTTTCTCTTTCAAAATTAACATTTGATACATTATACAAAAATGAAAATGAAGTTCAAAATAATGCCCATATATAATGTAGGTTTTAAAACAGAAACCCTTTGAATTTGAAATAACAATGAAATTTGAAATAACAGGCAGGTGATTGAAATAACATATTGATGCGATACTTGAAAAACGGAACCCAGTTCTTTATGCCATTTGCAATCATAATTTCTATATATAAAATTAAATTTTTAATACATTTATATCACTTTATGCCACCTGAAACTTATACAAAATCTATACTAAAAAAATTTTTGTTTAATGTATTTTTTGAACTTCAATTTTTTTCGCTTTCAAAAATTATATAGCCAATCAATTTTAAGAAAGATCACTAAATTCTAGAATATCAATATGCAGTCATGCAATGTAAATCATTACTATATTAGGTAATACCAAATATGGAAAAACACTGGACTGTACTGTACTTGATAATCAAATTATTGCTAGAAAAGCCAGAAGGCAACCTTTAGCATCTGGCTTGATTTTTATTACCTACTGGCAATGTAATATTAAATCTCAATTTATTCAACTTTATTCTCTTCCACCTATTCAATTCTATATATGTCCTGGATGTTCTCTCAACTCTCAAATAATTGCTGACAAATGTATAATTATTATTTCTACCAATCTTTTAACTCAATTTCTGAATCAAGTTAACACATATAACAAAACTCTTAACTTTAATACTAATCATCTTCATCTTATATACTCTATTGCAATTTAGCATCCTACTCAAATTCCAGACCTTTCAAATATTACTATTCCTACTTAACCTATTTCTGTAAACTTTGAACCTTGTTCACTTATATATAACCTTCAACAAATAGCCAACTATAATGTTAACTTATTAGAACTTCACTTTTATACTGATGACTCTGTTATTGATTTGGGTACTTCACAATGCTCGATGGATATTAGATAAGTCAAAATTTCTAATAACTCTATACTACACACATTTTAAGCTCAAACAAAACTTTAGCTTTATTCATTTAAAGCTGAACTTACTGCCATTCTATCTGCTCTCATTACTGCTCCTAAAAATAGTATCATAAACATATATACAGACTCTCAATCTGTAATTTCTAAATATCAAAGCATTTTTAACTCTTCTACAACCTTATCTTATATACATATACTATACTTTTTACTATAAAACTTATTAATTTACTTTGTTAATTTATATAAAATTTAAATTATTTTTCATAAAGTTACTGTATATCAAGATAAAATATATAATAACCTTACTAACCAACTGGCATGAAACTATTACAACTTATCATATTTAACTTTTATGTCTTACAATATCTATAACTCATCTTATACTCCAAATTTTAAAAAATTTCTTTTAGAATTACCTACTCACTACAGTATTTATACAATCTGTCATGCATATATCTATACACTATAAACTACACAAAACCAATTTCAAAAATGAAACAAAATCTTTAACCAAATTAATTGGCAAGCCACTTGGCTATATATTAATAATAATCAAAAAATCTCAAACCTCTCACATAGCTTTCAATCTTCTGCTCTTAAATCTTTTAGAATTAAAATTCTACTTAATGACCTTTCTACTTCACATATTCTTCATAAATAATATCACTCATACCTACCAACCTGTCATCAATACCATAAAACCAGTTCTCACCTCTACTAAATAACATGTCCATCTGACCAGCTGCTACACAACCTTATTGACAGCTCTCTACAACATACTCTAAACATAAATACACTTGACACTACTTTAGAAACAATAACCAAACTACATTGCCAAATTAAACAACTGTACTGTATAACTACACATAATACAGTAGACCTAGCATCAGTCTTTTCAACCTTATCTGACTTAGTGCTACATAAAATTATCTCTACTATCTCAAATTTATCATCTAAAAAATTAGTTACAACACTTGTTATCAAATTTTTACTTCATCTT